ACCAAGAAGACACTGGTGAATAGGAGGCACTTTGTACTGGAGCAGATCCACCATTGTTGTATCCAAGGGAAGGATTGTTTCCAGTCACTGTACTAGGATCAGGATGATGAAACCTGCAACTGGATCCATACTTGCAGGACCCAGTGCGCATGTAGAAAGGGCAATCCTTCTCTCCCTGAAATGAAGACAAATCCCTTAAGGACATAATTCTCAAATTCAAAAAGGTTCTGAATGACAGCAAGGAGCATTACCTGTCGAATTGGCAGGCCAAGAAAGTTAAAATCCAGAACAGGTGAGATTGCACCCTTCCCCTTACTATGACTATATTTACAGGCATTTCCATACTTGCACCCTCCTTCTGTTAGGTAATACTGCAAGATTAACGAAAAAGAAAAAAATTTAGCCAAAAAGGAAATATGCTACATTCAATACAGTATAGAAGTTTTAAGAACTTATAAGTTATAACAGAGCCAAGAAGGAAAATATGCGAAAGGCATAAAAACTTTTTTCCCCCACACATCCAGAGTAGAGACACGTGTGGAAACAACTAAACAACTACTTTCACAATTGTGTCAGCAACTTAAGAGGACTCAATTGTGTAAGTCAGAATCTTAGCATTGACCATTAAGAGGCAAATTCCAGTTACAGCACAACGCAAAGGAGAGAAGCATCCTGATGCATATATATACGAAGGTCATCACATAGAGGTCCTAAATATCACCATAGAGAGAATTAACAACACTAAATAAAATAACATGTAAAAACTGTAGTAATCAGTCAATGTCTGATCAGTTTAGTTCTACAAATCTATCCACATAACACAGGACAAAGAAAGATGGATTGCTCACTGATAAAAAAGAAAAAAGACGTATCATTGAGCAGTGTCAGTTCAACTTTATGCATGAACTTATTCCACAACTAAAATACAAAATTATGCATGTTGCACTTAAAATAGCTCCTCGAATACAAATTTTTTCTCCTTCACCTAGAAATCTGTGACTATGTCAGGGTCATCCTGCACGTACTTTGACTAATTCCACGGAGTACGTGCTGGCTCCTACAAGCACAGGTACCTCATGATTCTATCCGCTAAGGCTTGAAAAGATAAGAAGAACTCAGCTACTGCTTTTTGTTTCCACCGGGAATTAAACCTAAGACCTCGTGGTTCTCTTGACCTATAGGCCACACTCTTGGGTGCAAATCTATGGCCTTCTTATCATCCACTACATTCTACTATTATGCAACAGAAAGTAACTATTCCAACAAATTTCTATGAGAAAAGCAGTCAAAACTAAAGGAATTACACGATCCCTTCTGCTATAGATTCATTAAGTGAAGGAAATGATAAGAACTACCTACTAAAAAAAGGAAGAGCTTCCATGCACCACGGGTGGGTTCTCCCTCAGAAATTACCAGTACATAATTATAATACACTATGGTCAAAAGTCAACTTTAAGTTTCTCGTCATTATGACAATTTGCTATTTTCTCCTCATGATCTTATGAGGAGCAGGGGCTAAGAAACAAGTTCTGAAATACATGAGTTTTGTTCTAATCTAGTAAAAAGGTAATTTCATTGAAATGAAGGGTAGAAAAAATCCCGTACGCAACTAGTACACAAAAAAGTAGAGAAACTAACAATTATTTTAAACCATGCTTATTTAATGCATCCTTATTGTATTAAGCCAAACTACTTCAGTAACCCAATAATGTCAGATTGCAATGGTCATGCAGCCAAATCACAAGATAACAGAAATGCAGAACAGATTTTTACCATAAATCATCTTTCATGTGTTTCTGGCATATATTAAATGGTAGATACTAGGTTCATGTTAATAAACAAGTTTATCAGTTCATATCAAAGAGTCTGTATTTCATAGAGCACTAACATTTATTTTTTACATTATGATACTCAATATTCAACATCAAACCAAATTAGTCAAAAGATCAAGCACAGAAGAAGCAAAGATTTTCCTCGTCTCATGCTTTTAACAATGATAAATTTCATAACCTTGCATTCAATCAGCCCTGCTCTTTCCTCGCTTTCATCCTTTTGCTTGCCCTTCTCCATTGCCCACTGCTGAAGAGGTCATAACAAACTCAACATAGTAAGCATCACAAAAGTATTTAGGATCTAAGTTCTAACCTAAGCGTATGAACAGTAGTAATGGAAGAAAGAACACCACAAAGATCAACATAATCTCCAGATACTCATCCTATTAATCCACTTCATGTATAGATGTCAAGTAACACTCACTACTTCACAGAAAACAATAATGCCAATGATGAATGATACTATGAATTCTTTAACAACACATTTCAATGCATGATTCATCGTGCCCCTTAAGTGCCAACAACTAACTATGAAGCAGTCCTCCGTTAGCTCGCACCTCAAGTCCATCATTACTTCACAAGTGTAGCAACAACTACTACACTCAATCTCGTAGTAGTCAGGGTCCACCATGTGAATCCTTTAACACCATTTGGGCCCATTTCATCCCTATTACTTTAGAAGTCCACTATGCACAAGAAAAAAACTTAATAATCCCGTAATTAAACAAACAAAACAGTAGACCATCACAATCCTCCACTATTAATACGATTCATCCACAACACTGCTTTTATTTAACAAAACCATTCATTCAATCAACAAAACATAGAATAAGTACAACTAAAGCAGCTTCAAACCCATGACATTGTACCTGATTTTGTCTTCGAGAAGGGTGATTAAACTTGCAATTCAATCCATATTGACATGTCCCTGTTTTCATATAATAAGCACAATCCACAGCATCAGGCCTTAACGGGTAACTCAACCTCCTCCCATTCGCATTAAATCCCCATTCTTTTGAACCCGCCATACTACCGCTCTCATTTACCACATCAATTTCATTTCCGGTCCAACTAAGGTCACCATCTTCATAGTCATCAAATCCCCATTCCTTTGAACCCGCGTCACCAGCCTTCTCATTTTCCACATCAACCACAATTCCACTTTCGCTCCAACTATAGTCACCATCTTCATCGTTATCAAAACCCCATTCTCTTGAAATCACCTCACCACCTTTCTCGTTTTTCACATCAATCACATTTACGTTTTCGCTCCAACCAGCACCATCTTCATAACGATTACCACCGTACTCATTCCCGACTTCCTCTCTTCCATTCCCTTCATTAATATCCCCTTTTGCTCTCTCTTCACTGAACGCCTGGTCTACCACCAGATTCTGTAGCTCTTCACCTATCATTCGCACATCTTTCTCATCTTCACTTCCAGATTTTACCATAGCGGATTCATAAACACCTCCTTTTGCTCTCGCTTCACTGAACGCCTGGTTCAACACCAGATTCTGAACCTCCTTAAAAATGATTTGCAGCGCTATCTCATCATCATCATCAAATTCGTCTTCCTCAACTTCTGGGAGATCCCGACTAGGGTTTTGAAAATTGGGCTCCGATGAAAATGACGCCGTGTCGGGAGGTTGAGGATCAAACCCTAAATACTGTTTATCAAGTGTAGGTTGGCTTAAGTTATGCATGTATGGTGATTGAATGGCTTCCATTGCTTCGTTTTGCCTCCGAATTTTAAAGTGTAAAACCCTGATTCTCCATTTTCAGTCGAGTGAAGCAGTGTGAGCGAAATGAACAATGGCCAAAACAAGTCCAAATCAACGACGATTGTGACCCCAGTACATCTTTTATATCGCCCTTTTTCCTTTTCTTAGGACAAATGTCTCTATTTTAATTTTTTGACCTTTAAATCAGTGTCTTTTTATATATATATATATATATATATAAATAAATGGTCCTTTTAAAACACTTTAGTACTACTTGGCAAAAGTTAATCGCAAAGCAAAATAAATAAATAGAAAATATAATCGTAGTTTGATTTAATTGTAGCAAAATAAATAAATAAAAAATATAATCATAGTTTGATTTAATTGTATCCCGCAGCAAACTGTTGTTATTTCGTCTCTCTGCTTGGTGAATTTCACTCGTCACTCTCGACAGACTCTCACTCGCCTCTCTTACTTTTATTCAAAAATACAAATGTATAAAATATATTTACGTTTGTATAAAACGAGAAAAATTGTATATACACATTAATTTTCATTCTCTTATCTCTGATGTCACTAGCCACTCTCACTAAGCTCTCTCACTTTATACAAACACAAATGTCTACATTGCGTTTGTGTTTGTATAAAGCGAGAGAAAATTGTACATATAAATACAAAAACATATATTTTCGTTCTATAAACTTTTTTGCTTAATTTTCTTTTGTCTTTTTCTCTTTCTCACTTTATACATGTATACCGAAACAGATTTTACAATTGTTTCTTTTGTATATATGTGTAGGAAAATTTGTTATAAAGCAAAGTTCTGCATACCATAGTTATACAAATATTATTTTTGTGTTTGATATATATATATAAAAGTTATTCATTATTTTAAGCTTGAAAACAATGTTACGAGCATATTTGGTTAAATAGGTGTAAGAACATTTTTTTGTGAACCATTTTTAATATAATTAGAGCATTTTTATTCGGTAAGTTACAAGAAATATATATTTAAATCGTTTCTAATAGGTTAATAATATTTTTGACCTTTACAAATTATCAAGTATGTGGAATATAACTATCAAAGATGATGGATTTGGTAAAAATTTTCAATATGAATTGATATTTGTTTATCATAATAAATAGTATCAAATATCAAAGAAAGTGGAAGCGATAAGTTGGCTGATGGTACACTTCACGCAAAGTATACTTTTTTATTTCACGCGGATGAACTTTCCCACGTACATGCCCCCCACTATTTCCCTATTTTTCCGTCTCCTTTTTGTTTTACTAGTTTTTCTGCATCAAATTATGAAGTACACGTTTCAATAAAATAATATGTAAGATAAAAGAACAAGTAAAATGTCAGAATTCTTTTCTAAATTATTAATATGAATCATTGTAAGATGACTTATTTGTTGATATCAAAATAAATAAATTTAAGTTGGAACCAAAAAAAGATAAATTTGATAAGGCGAGTGTACAATTAGAACTGTTAAGGTCAAATATTATAAAGTATCTAACATGTCTATACTTCGAATTATTGGGTCTAAAATTATGCTTGACAATTTCAACCCTTGAAATTGGAAACTACAACACCATACTCAATATAATTTCACTGGAGAGAGGACAATAGAGCACATGCAAACCTTAGATAGACCCTGGCTCAAGAAGAGATGACAAGTAAGAAATAATAGCAAGCAATAACAAGAAGAAGATAAACCCTGACATTGGAAACTAACAAACCTTTAGAAATGGAATATGATTTTCCCTCAAGAAGTTGGCATTGCTATTGAACTTGGCATTTCTATCCAGTCTGTAGAAACTTTGCATACAGAAAAAGAAAAAGACAGCAATTCTAAAAATGGCATTCCTTGTTTTAAGAGACAATGGTTTCGACAACTTACAAGATTGAAATAATTGAACTGCTTCAAATCAATGAAGGCTCCAATCATCTCAAGCAGGGTAAATCCAGGTTGACCACAACCCTGCATGATAACATTAAACCAGAAAGTTAGACATGAACACTGTGAAATGCAATTCAAATTATTCACACTGCCTGTATCAACCTGTCATCAACGATTAATTGGACTAAATTTTCAAATTCTCTAGTAAGTTAAATTTGAACGAAGGCCACTGCTGGTGCACTTGTCACATCTATAGCATGAATTATAGTCATGGCGGAAGTGAAGAAAGCAGGAGACATCAGTATTTTGGAAAGAATCTCTACTTTGCTAAAACTCCAGAAGGAGCTAAGTTTAACAAACTAAAATCCAAAAAAGCTGATATTACCAAATCTTAAGATCTACCCTTCTTTTTTTCTCCCGCCACCTAAATAATTACAGGGGGACAAATTTTTAATAGAACGAATCGCAGACATCATGACATGCTGGTATACATGTTGAGCATGTTAGAAGCTTTAATCATGTTGGATTTGGCAGCATCAAGCAATGGATCTGCCTGGATTGCCTTGTCGAATGAGTCCTTTGCTTCGTTCCACTTTCCTTCAGCAACATATACAAGACCTAAATTGTTTAAAGCAGGTGCATATCCAGGTTGCAGTTCAAGTGATTTATTGAACATTGCCTTTGCACATTCATACTGTTTTAGCTGCCGATAGAGATTTCCAAGGTTTGAAAATATTGTGTGCGCTTGTTTTGGTGTAGCTAGTGACAATGCTTGTTTATACACCGATTCAGCTTGAGAAGACTCCTCGGATAGTTGCAGTGAAATACCTATAGTGCAAAAAAAAATTCAGCAAGACATGAAGGCTATTTTCACGATGATCAAATATGGAGAAGAAAAGAGGAGGAAAAAAGATGTGCATGACATTGTGTAAGAGAGATGCATTTACCAAGATTTGACCAGGCATAGGTGCAGTCCTTACGGCGTGCAACTGCAGCTTTGAGGTACGTTTGAGACGTCTTAAATTGTTGGGTACACAGACTATGAAGGCCAAGCTGATGCCATTGAACAGCATCAGCAGGATCTTCGGCTATTGCCTGTCATTTGCAAAATCAGAATAAGAAATCCAAGCATTCAGTCCAAACTTCATTTCGCAAGACTGTCGCAGAACATAATGAAAATCAAAGGTCAGGAAGCCGATGCAAGGAATCAAAGAAGCTTACATGCAGTAAACACATGCAAGGTATTAAAGAAGCTTAAATGCAGTAAACACATGCAAGAAAGAGTTTGACAACTGATTTCCTTTCACAGTAAAAGATAAGTTCAAGCAATTCCAACTCAAAAACAATTTCGTAAGTAACCACTTGCACCATAGAGGAAGTACATATAGATCACCTCATCACATGTTCAACTACTCCCCCCATCCCATATGAGATGGGCACTTTAAAGCTTATCAAACTAAGTAATAAGTCTTAGATAAAAATATAAAAACTTTAAAGCCTACCTGCTTTAGACTATAGATAGCATGCTCCTTGACTTCCACCAATTCATTATGCTCAACTTCAAATCCTGCCACAATTTCATGTTGGGCCCTGTGGACCATGGCGAGACCAGCCCATGCTACTGGAGGCTCTATCGAAGTAGAATCTCCTTCTCTTAGTATTGAGGCCATCTCAATACCAGCCCATGAGAGCTGCTCATTGGGATTCTGGGACCTCTCTGCATCCCTGATGCGGTGAACTCCAACCGCATATCTTGTCGCTAAACAATTAGGATCAATTTTTCCTGCCTACTCATTAAAGAAAAAGAATGTAAATTACTTATACAAGATCAACATTAATGCATCTATTCAAGAAGCCTAGGAATCAATATCTTGTAAGAACAGATAAAAGTGAGGTTTAAAGCTGATTGTCGCCTTGAAGAAGAAGTACCTTTTCCAAGCATTTTGCAGAGCTCCTATGATCACCCATCAAGTAATAAGCATTAGCTAGATTTGTCCAAATGTGAGCCGCTTTCGAGTCTGCTTTTAAAGCTGCTAGTAAACACTCTTTGGCAACATTGGCTGCAGTGACTTGATCTGCAGAAGTTCCATAAAGAGTATTTGCCCCCGCACCTGAAACTAACAGCCGATGCTTACTAGTTAGTCTCTGTTTTCTTTTTCTTTAAAATTGTTATATCTATGTTTCAAAACATGCTAATGAGCACTATCAGTAAAATAATTGATAGCCTAAGTAAATTTTTGCAATGCTCTGTAACCATAAATCTGGTGGCCTAAGTATATAATTATAAAACACAAAATCCTCTTACCTGCCACTAGTGAACCATATTTATATAAGATAAGGGCAGCATAGTTGATTAATGCAGTGGGATGATTCTGATCTTTTATAAGTAGATCTTGGAAGCACTTCTCAGAAAGCTCTAGATTCCCACTGGAAAAACATTGTCAAAGTGATTCAATTCAGCAAAGAAAGTAGCTCAAGTGAACAATATAGGAAGACATGGCTGGTGAAACATTAATCAGTTAGTGTATCTACCAAAGGTGATTAACAGCATCAGAAACATCCCCCATCCCAATAAAAAAAAAAGAGACAAACACAGATAACAGAAGCAGAATATGCATTTGATAAAATACCAGTGTATGAAAAATTGAAAACCTATAAAAGCAGTGACTGCTATTAAGACGATCTAATCAATTGAAGAAGTTATATGGAACGAAGCATTTGATCAACCTCTCCAGGAATCCTAAAGTTCCACTCAAATCCATGATGGGTTAATCTGATTCACAAGAATGGTGACAGCTTGAAATAGGTAACTGTCTGTATCACCATTTGCAAGATTTAATTACTCTTGTTGTATAAGGTCATGGGATTTGCTTTGAAGGATGATTATTAAGAAGTGACTGAGTCATAGATACATAGAGGGTTCTCCCATTTATGGTAGAATAAGTAGGCTACTTCCTGAAAATGGTCTCCCTACCCACAAGATAAACACTTCTATTTTAATGGAACGGTGATAACCGCCATCAGAATACAGTACGCTTTTTAAGCACCCAAAGGTGTGGTCAATGAAGTGGAAGACTATGACGTATCAGGCTTAAATCCCTGAACTAGGCGATTTCTTCCATTTTGCCAAAGCCTCGGCTGCTAGAGTTGCCCGGTACTTGTACTGATAGGAGGGAGAAGATGCTAGTGGACTAGTCGAGGTGCAAAAAAGCTAGCCCGAGCACCACCACCGCCAACAACAACAACAACATCATACCTAGTCAAATTCCACAAGTGGACAATACTAGGAGCACAAACAAATAATACGATTACCGACGCAAAAGAAATAACAAGTAATAATAAGAAGTATAAGAAGGAAGAGGAAAAGAAATATTAATACCACTGATAAGGGAAACTAGATAGTGTGACTACCTACTAAGCTTCTACTCTAATTCTCAACCTCTATATCTTCCAATCTAGTGTCATGTCCTCGGTAAGCTGCAGGTGTTTCAAATCCTATCTAATCACCTCTTCCCAACCTAATTCTTTTTCTGCCTTACCTATACCTCCAGTCAGACCCACCATAGTGAACCTCTCACATCTCATCACTAGAATCTGAGCATCTCGGCTCACTTTGCCCATCTTGTCCACCACGGAGGTCATTCTCACCTTGTCTCAAATATGTTTGTTCTTTATCCTATCTTGCCTAGTGTGCTCATAAATCCATTTCAATATTTACCCTCAATATGTGAGTTCTTGACCGCCCAACATTGCGCCCCATACAACATAGTTGGTTTAACAACCACTTTATAAAACTTACCTTTAGCGGCATATTTTATCACACAAGATGCCGAATTTGAGCCTTTATTTTATCCACCTGCTCCAATACAATATGTGGCAATCCTAGTCTATCTCGCTATTCCCTTGAAATATAGATATCAACAATATGCCCCATACAACATCGCTCAATCACGACCATCATAAAAAGTTATCGTTTTAGAAATCTAAGTCTCTATACTTTGTTTTTTGAGGGGTAAGTTTATGACATTATTATCTTCAAACCCCATCCGTCTGAAGCTATTGCATCGTTTTTGCCAATAAATCAGAGTGAGCAGCTAAGAGACACATTACAAGGTTGGAAAAGCTTAGGCATAATTTCTATAATCAGAACAGTATCCACAATCAAAGTAAAGTATGAGTTGATTAACCTTTTCTCTCCCTTTTTCGACATAATGGGTCAAAACTTTTCTTCAGCATAATCAAACATTAGTAAACATAATTTTATTTTGAGACTTTCAAGCCTTCATAACTCAAATTTCACTTCCACACGGCTTAAGCAAGATATGATACTGAAGATTCTATTGTCTATAAATGAAAGAGAGAAGTTCCAGCGGCCAAGTTGAATCATCAGTAGATATGATCAAATGTGCATGACTTCAGGAAAAGAGAAATCCAATGTCATATTTGTTCCCATTTTGTGATCATTTATGTAACCCAAAGGGTTTTTACCACTTGAGGTCCCCTAAAAATATTTTAATTCAAACTGAAAAGCAAAGAAAAACTATATGTTTCACAATGAATAGGGAAGCGACAGCACAAAAGATTTACTCATCACTAAATGGAACAGTATAAGTCATAGATTTTTCTCCTTTACAATTGCAATGTCAATAAAAACATCATTTAGCTTATATGATATTCTTTATCTTTGCCCTTTTCAACACATAAATACAAGTGCTTCTCCACCTCTCCAATTATTTTTAGCTTCACGATCAATCTATTTTTCATTAGTATTATTTGATCAAACACGAGAATATTAAAATGATGACATTAATATAATAAGTAATCTAATGCCCCTTTATACCTCTGGAGACAAGCAATTCCAAGATTACTGAGGCAATCTAAGTTGTCTGGGGAAATGTCCAACAAAGTTGAGAAAACTGATATAGCACTCTACAATAACCACAAGTGTCAAACGATAATCAAAGAAAGTTCCAAGATGTCAATGAGTTAAGCTAAAATATAAACATAGCAGCACCTGCAAACGACCAGATCTAAGAAGTATTATGCCAAGAGCATTCCAAATGGATGCCTGCCTAACATCAGATTTCACAACCTCCTTAAGTTTAGCAAGAATATTTTCAAGCTCTTCAGGGTCTAATTCCTCATCTGAACTACAATCTTCCAAGGTTCCAAGCAGAATACACTGCACCAGGAAGAGATGTGTAAGTATGTGGTTAGCAGTAATTACATATTTAAGTTTGAAAAACTAATAGAGAAACATTGACTACAAAATTTGCAATTTCTCTGAGTGTAAGTTCATTCATACCTGTGCATGATGAACCTGGACTAAAGAAAGCAACTCAGGCCTGTCTATTGCTTCCTCAGAGCGAACTAAAATTTCTTCCGATTTCTCATATGCCAGAATCGCCTAGAATGAGCTGTTCAGTGCGAGAGAGAGAATGAAAACAGACCCAGGAAAAGAACACTGGAATCCATAAGCTACCTTTTGAGGCTGACCCATCCTTTGATACATCAAGCCAAGTACAAAATGTGCATGTGCATTCTTTGGCATTTTTCGCGCAACATGTATCAAGCCCTACAAGCAAAGTAGATGAATCCAGCAAAAGTTTAAACAACTGCACCAAGAAGGTGTTTAACTACTCTTTCCTCTGACAATCAAAACAGATGATTTTACTAGCACAATTACCCTTATTTTAAGAGAAAAGAAAAGCAGAAGATTAAACTGGCACAAGGTGAAGCACAATCAAGAAGAACTCTCTTAGAACTTTGGGATGCCCCTTGCATCTAGTAGAATCAGTTCTGTTGCCGTCCAAAGCTATGTTCCTCAGCAGCTGAAGCAAAAGACGTACTCGTTCTACTTCCCAACCATTTACATTCCTTCGAAGAAAGAAATTCCACCTTTGTGTTTTTTTTAGGTTAAAAGCATAGGAAGTATATTATTCAACTTCCAGCAAATAGTTACAAATCATCTGAGGGAAATCACAATCAGCGAATTACCCCTTGTGTTGAATATAGACAGTATAATATATTAATACTGAAAATAGTTATTTTAATTACAAGTTAATTATTGTAATACTAAATTCATATTTTGGTATTTTAACATTTCAATTAATTATATGCTTCAGTCCTCATTGGTCGTTTCAAGTCCCGTGGATTTTGTTGCTTTCCCACTTTTTGCATTTGAAAACACTGCATTCAATTCAAGTGATGAAAAAATATGATATGGAAAACAGTTAAAAGGATTAGCTCTCATATAAACATAGATACAGACACAAATCTAGGTAACAAAAGACAAACATAAGTCAAAATATTCATCATGAAACACCAAGTTGGTCTCAAGAAATATGTACAAGTTGTGCATATAAATGAACTCGAGTTCATGCAAAATTTCCTGTCAACCTTGTCCAACTATCAATATAGCAAATATAAATGGATCAAAATACAACTCACAGTTTTAAGACTGCTAACTTTTTCTTCCCGAGATGAAGGGACCCCATGAACATTATGATCAGCCTCTGCATCAGCTCCATTACAATCAGGAGGACATTCTAACTTACCCATTCTTGAACGGCATTTTCCCAATTTTTTCAATTGTTTACCTTCTGTTTCTGCAATCTCTATGTCTTTCTTCAGCTTATCCTGACAAATTTCATCAGCTATTACCCTGCAAATATATCAGACCCAGGTTAAAGTAATAAATTATTCTTGTCCCAGCAATAATATCAACATAATAAAGCTAAACAACAAAGCATCAGATCGAGGTGAATTACCTCTGCCGTTATATGAACTCCTTTTCCGAGATTTATTTTCTATAGGCAGAGGTGGGCCGAGAAAGAACTTGGAAAGGTGATTAGATAGGACATGCACAACTTGAACTTATTGAGGACATGTAGGAAGGTTTGGAGGTCGAGGATTAGAGTAGAAGGTTAGTAAGTAGCCGAGTGTTATCACATTTAACGTGGGAGATGTGGGGGGGCTAGCCTCCTCCTTTCCTCTTCTCTTTATTAGCGGTATTATCTAGTAATGACGTAGTCTCTTATTCTTCAATTTGTATTACTATTTGTTGCTTCATTTGTTTTGTATCTTGCTATTTTGTTCTCATATTTTTCTCGCAATCATGCTTAGATTATTTATTTTTTTAGCCGAGTGTCTACCAAATACAGTCTCTCTACTCCCACATAGTTAGGGGTAAGGTGCATACATTCTAACCCCCACAGACCCCATTGGTGGGATTACATTAGCTATGTTGTTGTTGTTGGTATTTCTCACATGTTTCATGGCAGCCAACTGAATTTTTAATAACAGCTCTAACAATACGATATAGATTCATCTTCACTTACAACTAATTCCTTCCCAAAAGGAATGCCACTCTTATTAGTTGGTGAATCAAAGAGTGTGGAATCAAGCCTAGCCTCATTCAAATGAAAAAAAAAATCCGAAAACTCTAAACAATTCAAGTTTCTTCTTTCATTTGTTCTTTTTTATTTCATAAAAGTATCAAGTAGAACCTGGATAAACATATAGGAGACACAGCAGCTACGGGTACTGAATCATTGCCGTCGGAATCAGGAGGGTCAACGTTGAGGTCAGCCAAAACGATTTTCGACGGCTGATACTGAAGTGGTGGCTGTAACCTCACGGAGCCGGAGTTCCTGTCAACGACGAGAGATTCTGACTTCATTGAAGGAATTTTAACGGAGTTGGACGCCGGAATTTCTGACATTTTGGACGCCGAACGAAAAATCTTCCGCTGAAAAGGTTCCTCTTTGGAATGTTTAACTTTTGGTCCCTGAGGTTTTGTCTAAATCCATTTTGCTCACTATGTTAATCTATTATATATTTTGGTACCTAATCTTTTATCTGAGATTCAATTTGACCCTGTAATTTATCTGAAATTCAATTGCATTAATTATTGTGATTATGACATCGGTAGAAACTTGAAAGAGAGCCTAATTGTAATTTCACCAACATGTCTCAATCTTAAAAGTAGGGCATGTTATTTGCTATGTAGAAGTGATTTTTACGTATGTTTATATATTTATTTTAGTTATAATCGTATGTTAATAAAATAAAAATAATTTTTATATTACTATAATTTAATCTTTTTATCAGATTATGTATAATCTATCTTTTATACCTATCTAATTTCACCTATTATGGACAATTAACTACAATTAATTATACTTAATTTAGTTTACACACTAATTAATTAAGAGGTTGAGGTTTGTTATGTGGCTTTTCAATAAGAGGGGTCATGACAATGTGTTCATTAGATCTAAACAAATTATTGGTAATGTATATAATTTATACATCCTTAATTGAACAAACTAGAGAATCCACAATTCTTTCATGGAATCAAATTATTTCCTTGTGAAAATTCATCTTTCAACTTAAAGAAAAGCACAACTCCATATCCTAGTTAATTAAAAAAGATTAACATTTAAATTAAGTCGATATTAAGGATGAATCACTTCCCTTTTTATGATAATTATTGAGTGTAAATTAAATTATTAAAATATATTTACATGTTTGTGTGCTTGATTGATCAAAATTTAATTGATACGCTTTTTGTAAATAAAATATTTTGATTTAAAGAGATAATATCAATCACTTGATATTCATTCAACGTATTATTATGATTATATTAATTTCGGATATGCTTAGCCGGCCTATCACGAGTACCTACGAGGATTAGTGTGTGAATATTGAATCCACAAAAACATGCACATGTGATTCATATATAACGTGGTGCATTTGCAAATTTGAATTCAAAATGCAAAATTTGAGGTAGGTTTAATAATTTTCATATTTATATAAATTATGTAGTAAAAAATATTGAGTTCAACTGATTCGTGTTATACCCGTCGCTTCTGTAACCTCTCCAATTGGGACCTTTGTGTTGGCAATTTATCATGTTGACAAGTTGATCGAATGACAATAATGTGAAGCGTGGTGCTTCAAAGCATCACTTCTCTTGCTCTTGGGTGTGGAGTTACGGCGAGGTTTGCGGCCCAAAAATATGATAATTTGATTGAAGACATTTTTAGGTACTTGAAGATACCTAATTAATTAGTTAGGTTGGACCCAATTTTTAAGCACATGAAAACTTGATTTCTAGAAGAAGAAGAAATGATGTGCTAATGTCATGAAAATATGTGAAGGAGATTAAGCCTAATTATATAACATGTTTGGAGTTGTTTGGTACCTGGTTCGGAAGTGATCAGTTATGTAAATGTTAAATTCTTTATAAGTAATATCGTGTTTGGTAGTTGATTTGAAGGTGATTAGTTATGCACATATTAAATTATGCATAAAGTAATATCATGTTTGGTAGTTGATTAGGATGTGAGTTATTTTTGAATAAAATTAATACAACATTTGATTTACAATTTATAAAATCAAACCTTCGTGACTAGGTACTACATATGTTTTATATAGAAATTTGGCATAGTATATTCTGCATAAATAATATCATGTTCGGTAGTTGGTTAGGATGTGAGTTATTTCTTAATAACATTTGATTTAAACTACATATGTTTTTTATATAGAAATTTGGCATAGTATATTCTGCATAAATAATATCATGTTCGATAGTTGGTTAGGATGTGAGTTATTCCAGAATAAAATTAATTCAACATATGATTTATAATTACGTATTACATATGTTTTTTTATAGAAATTTGGCATAGTATTTTATGCATGATAGAAAAAAATAACTAATACATAAATAATTAAAAAGAATTATTTCAACTTATTTGTTCCAATTATAAAATAAAAAGGATCTTCTTTATAATTTAGTAAAAATATCACTCTTAACTAAAATTTTCTTTAAAAAGTATGTCACATTATAAAAGGCAGGGACTGAGAAATTTCAACCATAGAAATTATTGTGTCCCTAAAAAGTAAAAAACAATTGACTCTCATCACTAGTAACTAAAATTCCAGTTAGGTCAATATTTTTTCTTTTTTTGTGATTGTCTTTCACATGATTAAGGGTCGTTTGGATGGGCTTAATAAAAACAGCTTTAAAAAGTACTTTTGAAAGTACTGAAACTTATTTTTAAAATAAGCAGTTATGAGTTTGGATAAAAGTGCTGAAGTTGTTATGCCAAACGTGAAAAGGGAAAAATAGAAGAAAGAGATGTTAGGGTTATATGGGTAATTTGGAGATTGTATAAAAATATTAAGGGAAAAAACATAAAAATGTGGTCAACTTAAAACAGCTTATAAGCTAAAAAAAAAATACTCTTACCCCAGTTTTTAACTTTTGGCTTAAAATAAGTTTTTTTTAACTTAAAATAAGCTATTTTGAGTATTGCCAAACAGTTAAATAAGTCAAAAACCAGCTTTTAAGTCAGTTTGATCAGCTTTTAAGCTGAGCCAAACAGGCTCTAAATCATATAAGTTCCAGGGGCTAAGAACACTATAATTATATCAAATCACTGTAAATTGTAATTATATTTGACCACTGTTTGCTTCAATTAAGGAAGAGAATTTGAAAAAAGTATTAAAGTAAAATTTGATATTCCAATTTGATAAATAGAGGCCGTTCAATTACTTCCTTCCCATTTTGATAATTAAAGTAGTTTACTTTTATGATGAAAAATTGCTCAAAGCAAACTTTGTCTCTCATAATTGAATAGGAAAACGAAAATCATTGCGTTTTTATAAAAAAAAAAATCATTTTAAAAACTTTTAAAGAGTTAAAGAATATAGTCTATCCTTACACCATTATTGTTCTTTTTTTAAAGTCAAACTATAAGAATTTTGATTAATATTTTACGATATATATTTTTATCATATTGATATACAAAAAAATTACAATTTATACTACTTTTTGTATGGTTTTTGAATATCTAATTTTTTCTAAAAAAAATATTTAATTATTATATAATTTAATTTAACTTTAAAGATTAATCAAATTTGACTTTCGAATAGCTCAATATGTCAAATCAAAGTGGACACAGGGAGTATATATGATAAAATTTTCAAATCAGATACTCTTACTAACTTGTAGCATTGTTAGACTTAAGGAGTGATTTCTTAAGCATTTTACTATTCCAAAACTTCCAAAAAAAATTATTTTTCTCAATTAAAAGAAGAAATTAAAAACTTTGGACAATTGAAATGACATAGTAGTTACAACTTACAACAACAAAAAAAAAAGAGCAAAAATTGAGGAATGTACGACGGTTTTGTCATTATACTTGAATACTACTATGCCTTAATTAATAGCTACTACATGATAAGAAGTTTTTAAATTAAATAATTTAATCCCCTTTCGTTTAAAGAGTGGGAGATTAATTAATTATCATAATCCTATTGTTAATTAGTGACATCATTGGAAGGTTATTAGATTACTAACATGTTTTTTTTAATTATATGGTGCATATTACTAAGGACAATATGGCCTGCAAATGCAATAATCCTCAAATTGCTAGGATTCATGCCCATTGGCTTGATGAATATTGGTAGTTGAAATGGCTCTATCACTTTGTATGGTTTTGGTTGATATTGCTTTGAATCTTTACATTTGTCTTCATTAATATATTCATTAGTATATCAATTTGTGCGATGGACGGATAATATTAAAATATTATTTAAACATATTAAATTATATTATCTAACAAAATTCTGACTACCATAAATATACTTATATCTCCTCCCTCCACAACTCTTAATAACCAATTCTATATGTCAAGTGGTTTTTCATTTGTCACTCGACTTAACCTAAATTACTCTCCTTTATTATATATATCGATTGAAACCAAATTTTTTTATCCTTTTAACCTTTTTGTCCCATGTATATGAAACAATATAATGAGAGGGAAAGATAAAAAACATTCACGAGAATCAAATTTATAGCAATACATTTAATTATATTGAAGTAATTAAATCAACACTTCTGGAGTACTCTACAGAGGTTGTATTTAATAATCAAAAGTCAAAAAGGCATAAACACAAAGATGCCAAAAACCAAAAAAGTTACACAATAGAGTTCCTGTCTTTTCCCCCCTTCAAATAAAGTCCTTCCTTTTTTTTTTTCATAAAAGTAATATTTTTTCGTCTTTGTTAGAAAACACTTTAATCAGCTAGCAACGAGAACCTTTCCAACAACTCAGGGCACCGGCTCCGGACACAAGGGAGCTTATTAGTGAAGAAGACTTTGCACTCAAACTCGAAGCCTTAGCATAATTTGAAGAGGCTCCAGCTCCTGATTTTACAAAAAATGCACCATTTAACATTAAGTCACCATCACTCCTCCAATTCCAATTTTTCCATTCACTTTCTGGTGCATTTTCATGCTTCGTCACCTATACATGAATTTTAAATTTAATTTACGATCTAGTTAAGCAAAAGATTATAATATATGTGTGCGAATAAATTAATAATAACAATGTACCTCTTTGCTGAATCTAATATCAGAAGCAAGGAATCTATTGCCCTGGCTATTGATAGTGGGATTAGCACTACCA